CATCTTCCTGATATAGTTGCGCTTTAGCTTTTGCATCTCTAATGACTCATAGACGTTCTCATTTTCATAATATCAGAGAAGACCACTCATTAAATAATCACAATCCTTTAGCCCAATTGATATAATCAGCAACACAATAGGATAAGTACAACTTACAATCTGTAAGTTGATCACTTGTGATAGTCATTAATCTATCACCTTTAAACCATGTGAATTAAATTAAAATCAAGAAGCAGCCCAAAATATGTTTGCAGTAAATAAACTCTTCAGTATAGCATCTTTACTATTTAGGATGGGGGCTTAGACAGAGTTAGGATGAGAGGTGTAATAAATAAAAGAATTGGAGAAGATTTCAAGTGAAGCCAGAGTACATAGGATGACCATACAATCTTTAGGAAACTGTTAAAGTCAAAAGGGAAAGACAGAGTGCAAGAATAAGCACAAGAATATAACAACTTAACAGTTATAGAGGCTTACTTTCCTTTGAAACTGTTGACCCTTGAGTGAAGGAAAATGAGAGAAGAAAATAACATAAAGAAAAAAGAATAAATCCGAGTTAGGGCAGGAACAGAAAGGGAGATGAGGAATAATATGGGGGAGCAAGACACCTAGTTGGAAAAGGAGGACAGAAAAAGGAATTTGCAGAGTGGAATGAGGAAAAGAAAGAAGAAAAATAATATGAAGTGCCTCTTTCAGACTATATTTCTGCTGTCATAATATACAGCATGCGCAGCCATGTGCAGGACTAAGTCCTTTGATCTCAGCTAGCCGATGGCAGACCCCTGAGATTCAGACTGATTTCGGTCTGCAAGGCCCAAATTGACTTGCCTGACCTCCTGCAGGGTTGAATTCCTCAAAGTTTTACTACCGGTTCCCTCTGCCCTTTCTTTGAAGATGTTCAAAGTCTGGAGCTCAGAAAAATGCCCATTATGACCATCTGCGCCTCTGCAGAGTGGATCCAAGGACTGGCACAATCAGGAGGCCTGAGTGAAGGGGTGGTGTTGCAGGGGTGCCCTCCCAGCAAGCTAGTCTTCATGATTGGGCCCAGACAGGCCGGAGGGAGAACAGATCTTGGAGCAGCTGTCCCGGACCTCTGCCTTCCACCTTCCGCTGGGTGTTTGTCCTGGCGCAGGCGGGGCCAAGGATGGAATCTCTTCTACAACACCTTGTGGCCAGTAAACAGTTTTCTTCTTTTACAAACAGGCAGCTCTCTGACCACCACTGGCCATTGGAGGGAAAAACCAGAGCCTAGAAGAAACTAGCCAGCTTTGCTTTTCTCCAAGACCATTCACTCATCGGTTGGGTCTTTAACTAGATACTGCTTTTTTTTTTTTTTTTTTTGAGACAGGGTCTCACTCTGTAATTGAGACTGACCTGTAACTCACTATGTAGCCCAGGCTGGTCTCAAACTCACAACGATCCTCCTACCTCAGACTCCTGAGTGCTGGGATTACAGCCTCATCATCCTTATCACATAAAGATCTTTTTGTTTTCTTTTTTTTTGCTTTCATGGAGAGAAAACATACTACATAGTTAATAGTTGATACCTTAACAGAAATTGTTAACTGGTGATTGAAGTGAAAAGGTTCACCAGAACTGGATTGGGAAAAAAACCAAAGGAACTTTGTATATTAATTGGTTGTGTTTCTATAACAGATGTGAAAGGCTGGGTAGGTGATAGGATGGGTATCTGAAACTATTATCACTATTGATTCAGATTCTCTGAGTCTTGTTAATCTACCATTTTTTGGACTGAGTTAGCTGCCTCAATTAATGCTTCCATTGCTATTAGTAGGAAGGGGGTAAAAACCAAAGGGAGGGCATACTGTTTGCTTTAGGCTGGAAATTGTACACATCACTTTTGTGTATATCCCACTGTACAGAACTTAATTACATGGTTATACAGACATTCCTCACTTAATGACCAAGTGCCATTTCTGCATCTAGGTTAATTGAATTGGTCGCTAAATGAGGAATTATATGTAGTATGTACATTGCAACATTCAGACAAAGAAATAGTCAAAGTCCAATTTGATGACTTGGCTTTATATTTGTATAACTTTTACATGCAGTACTATAATGTATAATAGGACATAAAACTACAGTACTATACTGTGCAGTACAATCAGCAAAAGTTATCTGTATTACTATAAGAAATATGCCTAGCCAAAACTTGACTGTTACAGAATAAGAATGCAGTGGTTATGGAATAGCTAACAGTCTGCTGTAGTTTGCCACTCTGGCCTTATTTATCATTCTTCCTCATCCTAGTACAGCATCAGCCCCATCCTAATGGGGCAAGCTCCAGGTCTTGTAATTGTACCCAGCTCAGAGACTAGGATCTCTGGGTGATGTGCAGTCTTCTCCATAAAGTCCAAGTGTTGGACTGTGTCCATTATGGTTGGATAACTGAAAACTAGAAGGCAAGTTAATTTGCATTCTCCAATCTCATTGTCATGCACACATCATTACACATTGCTAGAGTAGGAATGGGTAACCGCAATTACTAAACTTCTGTTTAGAAAAGAATAGGAAACTGGAAGAGTCTTTGCTCACAGTAGTGATAAAATTCTGTGATACAGAAATTGTGAGGACATTGAAGACAGTGGAATAAGTTACTGTTAGCTCATTTAGCATTCCGATTGTTCTCTGGAAGGAACCCACTTGCTTATTATATTCCATGTAACCCCTGTCCTTGCTTTCTGGTAGAGTGCATTGATGCACAGAGTCTTGAGGCTATAGCTGATATTATTCTGCTCTTCTAATATCTTTCTGTATTCCCTGAATCCTCTACCAACACTTTCAGTCTCGAGAGTTTGCCTGGTTTGAAGTCTTCATGTCTGAGGGAGGGATCACAGTCTCTGGTCATGGTCAGGCCACTATTGATCTAATTGCCAGTTAAAGTGACTTGAGAACCGCATTCAGCAAGCTTGAGAGCACTAAGAGGTATCCCAGTGGATCTCCAGTATTCGTTACTTTCTGCCTTCATTGTATAGCAGCAGTTTTTCTTCGATATCATAATCACTTATAAATGCTAGTATGGTAACTACCATTTTTTCCTGTTAATCTGCCAGCATGAGAAGCCCCAAATGACTAGATAGCAGCCATGACATTAGGTTTAATTGTTCTCTTACCATGCCTTCTGGTGAAAAACTTCCTCGTCTTGGAACTAGCACCCCATGGCAGCTAATTGGAATGATAAGCACAAATTCTTCAAGTGAGTTATTAAGAGTTATAATGAAAGGGACCACTGCTACTTCTGCCCCCTTGATTTCTGGGCCCATATATTCTCTATAAATATAATAGTTTGTTGATTTAAATACAGATTAAGCATCCTTAAAATAAAAATCTTAAATGTGAAATGCTCCAAAATGTGAAAATTTTATGAGTCCTGATCTGATGCTGAAAGTGGAAATTCCACATTTGACTCTATGACAGGTGGCAGTCAACATAGGTGCACTAAAAATATTTTATAAAACTGCCTTCAGGCTCTGTGTACAAGGTGTATATGAATTTTGATTTTAGAACTTGGTGTTCATCCCTAAGTACATATGTCAGCATTCTAAAAGGTGAAATAGTTCTAATCTCAAGCATTTTGGATAAGGAATACTCAACCTATATATATTATATTTTATTCCTAATAAGATGTCATTCCTAATAAGATCATCTCTGAGTGGTACTTTTTTTTTTTTAATCAGAGATCAAACTCAGAACCTTGTGCTTGAGAGGCAGGTGGGAGCACCACTGAGCTAAATCCCAGCAACAGCTTCTTTAAAAGTACCACTCGGAAGGGCTGAGGATCTAGCTCACTGGTTCCGCCGCCTTGCCTTGCAAGCGCAAGGACCTGAGTTCGATCCCTGGTATCAAAAAAAGATAATAATAATAAATAAATAAATTAAATAAATAAATAAATAAATAAATAAAATCCCCACTCGAAGGGGTAGGGATTTATCTCAGCTGTGCTGTCGCCTGCCTCGAAAGCACAAGGTTCCAAGTTTAATCTCTGGTACCAAAATAAATAAATAAAAATTAAAAAACTGTTGCAATGCTTTATCAGGGTAGCAGGGTAGCAGCTTTAGGGTAATATCAAATATGACAGAGCCAGAGTATCCTGTGGTCATTTGCTTCTGTTTTACTTCCTTTTCTGTAGAATGTTATTCCTAAATAAGAATATATGTTTTCAGGTTAGAAAATTAGTTAATTCATTTTTGTTTGTTTGTTTTCTTTTGTTTCTACTAGGGATCAAACTCAGGACCCTGTGTTTGCCAGGCAGGTGCTGTGCTGCTGAGCTACATCCCTAGTGAAAATTAGTTATTCTTGTTTGTTTGTTTTTGTTTTTTTGTTTTCTGAGACAGGGTGTCACTATGTAGTTGAGACTGACCTGGAACTTACTGTGTAGCCCAGGATGGTCTCAAACTCAGTGATCCTCCTGCCTCAGCCTCCCAAGTGCTGGAATTACAGGCATGCGCCACCATGCCCAACTGAAAATTAGTTATTCTTATGAGCCCTCATATAATAATTCTGGCCAAGGCACTGGACAGATGACAAATACTCTATCAGTTGTTGTCTTTAAATGGAAGGAATCAGACAAAACCTTTTACTTTCAAGTGGCTTACTGATTTTCTCACGGGAGGGTACTTGATCATGTTCACATCAGCTTCTGCTGCTGACCAGTTGGGACATACAATAGCGGCAGTAGCTAGGGCTAGGGGTGTGGCTCGGGTGCAGTGCTAGCCTAGCAAGCAAGAGGCCCTGGGTTCAATTCCGAGTACCAAAAAAGAAAGGGCGGGGGGACAAAATAGCAGCAGTAGTTAAAGGTTCATGAAGGGAAGCCCATGCTATAGTTTCTATCTCTGCCACCATGAGTATTTTACTAATAGACACTTTATACAAGTATTAGAATGGCTAAGGACAGAGACTAGCTGATCTCCACCTGACAAGTTATCCTGCTGATTTTTAGTGTCTCTTCAGTGATGTAAAATTATTATTTGAAATGATAGGAACAACAAGGCTATGACAGATCCCTCAAGAAAGTATTTAACCAGCAGTAGAGAAAAGCAGTTGAGTTTGAAACAATCTGAAGACAATCGGACATCAGGTAAGTTTGGTATTTATATAAGGTATTTATATGATATATTATAATTAAACTAGAAATAAAAACCTAAAGTGGAATATATATCACTGTGAATATATCAGATATATTCAGGACTAGTGTTTTCAGTACTAAAGAATCTAGATTTAACTTCCATTTGATTGTCTGGAATTAAGCTCTTTTATTGTCATACTACCTGAACCATAGGCTGAGTCAGAGGAGTTAAAGTGTTCAAAATTAAATTTCATCATTGCTTCTAATTAGAAAATTTTATGTAGAAGATCTTGAAATTTTTACCTACAGCATTTATGCTTGCCTAGTTTTTACAAAAACTAGGAATTAATGATTGTCCGTGCATTTTTGTCAAATATTTTCCACACCAACTGAATTTCTGGGCATCCTTAGAGACTCAGATATCTGGTGTTGATTTTAATATTATATCAATTTAAAATTAAGTTGGAATGGGCAGAGGATTTAGCTCAGTGGTGCCGCCACCGGCCTCACAAGCACAAGAGTTTGATCCCCGTACCAAAAAAAAAAAAGTTGAAGCAAGATAAAATATGTCATTATTTGATAAACTGATAATTTATGAAAATCCAGCTTCTAGAAATGTTCTTTTAGTGGTTTAGGATTGTTACATTGGTATTATAGAAAGATGTACCTCTAATATGTTTTACCTCTGAAATATTAATACCTAAGATATAAACTCCACATACTGGCTTTCAACTTTAATAATCAACCAGTAGTTAGAAAATTGAAAAATTATGTAACACGCCTTGGCAATATTGAAGTTAAGAATCTTCTTTTAAAAGTTGATGTGGGGGCTTGTAGCTCAGTAGTAGAATACTTGTCTAGCATGTACAAGTCCCAGGGTTCAGTCCCCAGTATCCCAGAAGAGAAAGTTGCTGTGGAAGAGATGAGATGAGAGAAGGAAGTGGATAGTAAAATTGCAAGAAAACCCATGAAACAAAATGGAGTTTTAAATGTATTAAATTTTGAGTTACTCAGTAAAGTAAGCAGCATAACACAAGTAATTAGTTAGGTGAGATTAGTTAGATTGCCTCAGTGCACATCTTCCTGGACCACAATTTGGGGTGATATGAGAATCTTCTAGATTTTTATAAAAAGGAGTCACTTGATAGTGTTTAAAATTAATAAATCAAGAAATAGAATGCACTATCTAACTCTAGGGAAGGAGTCAGAAAAACAAGTTTTTAAAAATGGTTAGAGACTTGAAGCAAAGAGATTTTGGGCAGGAGAATAGTGCTTTACTTTTGTAACTTTTTCCACAGTATTTAATCTCTTTAACATGATTGGATTTTATTTTGATGAAATGGAGAAAACAGTCAAATGTAAACATGCCCGATGTGTAATTTATTATTAAGTGAAGTTGAATGATTAAATAATAAATTTTTTTTCTTTTGTTTTGTAGGGCTTTTACCTTTGCAGTCATCGTCATTTTATGGAAGCAGAGCTGGATCCAAGGACTACTCTTCTAGTGTCACTAACCTAGATAGGTATGTGAGAGTCATGTGCCTTGTGAGAAATTTGAAGATCTCTCTGTTTCAGGCTACCTTGACTTTTCACAGTAGCCTACCCTGAGTCTCCCAGACCCGGGGTGTACTTTTATTTTGCTTTTGTCTTTTCCTTTCTTGTTCAGCCCAAGTTTGCTCTGCAGAGCCTGTTTCTCCCTTACCCTCTCACCTCCACTTTTCAAATAAACTTTTGGCACCATAAAAAAAGCGCTCTCAGAATATTGAATGGTTCTTATGCTCTCAAAATACTCTTAGTTTGAGAATATTCAAACTAATGTGTGTTAACAGTGCTTGCCTAGTGTGCATGAGGCCCTGGGTTCAACCCCAATACTACTCCCCCCACCCAGTTGAGAATCATAGTATCATTGCACTTGAGTTAGAAGGCGCTCTAGAAACATTTTAGTTCTGTTTTAAAGTTTTTCTACAAATGGATAAACTGAATGCTGGAATGATTTGTACTGAGCCTACTGGTTGTGACTCCCAGTGTAGATTCTAGGCCACTGTGTTTTCTATCCTCTCTAGTGATTAACATTTAAGACCTTGCCTCTGAGACACTTCTACATTGGCTTTGTTTCTTATGTACTTAAGCTACCTTCCAAAATTAAGGAGTTTTCTTTAAAAAAAAAAAGGCTTCGTGTGAGTACTTTTTATTGGAAAAAGCCAGGCAGGAATTTAATTGCTGATAATAGTCTATAGATATAGCGTTTTTTGTTTTTTTGTTTTTTTTTTTTAAGGTTTAGTGGATATAAATATATAAGGCAGCTGCTAAGCACTCACTGAGAAAGTGTGATCATGGAATACAGTCCACAGTGGTGATGGTTTAAAATATAACAAAGGTAATGGTAGTGTATGATATGTATGCCATATAATGACATAGTCATGCTTGTCTTTTTATTACAATTTAATTCAGTTGTAAACATTTTTGTATAAAATGATTAAGATGAATTTGATGTTGTGGTTAGGTATTTAACCTATCTTTCAAGCACTTTATGACTGCAATGTTAACTAAGTTATTTAAATTTGAGAAAGAAATCTTGACATATTTCCTCTCATTAGAAAAATCTTAGGCCAGCCTAAAAGATATAGTGAGACCCTGTCTCACAAAACCCAAAACCTAAAGAATCCAAGAATCCTGTTTTTGAAAAAAACTAAATTTGTTTTGCAAATGATTTATTAAATATAATTTCTTGGAAAAATAATAGAATAAACATTTTAATTATAAAAAGTAATATTTGATCCAAGAGAACTAAAAGAATCATATCACAGAGAAGTATGTGCACCCATGTTTATAGCGGCACAGTTTGTAATAGCTAAATCTTGGAAACAACCTATTTGCCCATCCGTTGGAAACTGTATAAAGAAGTTGTGGTTTTTCTATAAAATGGAATATTACTCAGCCATAAAGAGCGAGAGAATAGATTCATTCATAGGAAAATGGATACATATTGAAGATATACTCCTAAGTGAAATAAATAAGTCCCACATGTGTAAATACCAAATAGTTTCCCTGGTGTGAATATTCTGCAACAATGCATAAGATTCTAATAAGATTACTGACATTTAGAAATGGGAGGAAAGGAGCTAAAGGTGTAGGGAAGGTGTGATACGTAGGGGAAGAACAAAAAGGGAAAAGAAAAAAATGTGAGAGAATGAAAAGATGAAAATAAAGTGTTTGTAGATGGGGAGGGGAGGAGGGGGTGAAGGGAGGGCAGAGGTAAGGGGAAAAAATGAGAATCAAGACTTGCCATGTAAAGGTACATGATCCCAACAATGAATGTAACTGTACTGTATCCCTAAATGTACCAATAAACTCAATTAAAAAAAAAAAGTAATATTTGAGGGGAAATATTTTTATTTCAAAGATAATGAGAAAATTTCCAGATTGGTGAAAAAACTAATACTGAACAAAGCCTAAAGCCAAAACACACACTAGAATCAAGTACTAATGCATACAAGAAACATACTTAAAATGTAAAAATAAAAATCAGCTGAAAGAAAAGGATAGATTATCGAATGGGTTAAAAATAGTCCTTTTAACAAATAGTGCTAGGAAGCAGGTTGTGTAATAGCATCAAAACCTGTATACCCAGTTAAATTTGAATTTAAGAATGTAGACAGGGCTGGGTATTTAGCTCAGTGGTGAGGCCGCCTTCCTCGCACGTGCAAGGACCCAAGTTGAGTCCCCCCCCCAAAAAAAGAATGTAGACAGATAATGGTATCTTTAGTTAGAGACAAAGAATTTATTGAGCAAGAAGAAAACTGAACAAAGAAGTAGGAAGTAAAAATCTGAGCAAAGAAATTTGAAAAGTAAATTTTAAAATCCAAATGCTTTAAAGTTTTAGTATTTTGTATAGCTAATTTTAAAAAGGTACATATGATATGATTCTATTTACATGAAATTCTAGAAAATACAAGGTAACCAAGAGTGACAAAATGCAGACTAGTGGTTGCCTGCTCGAGAAAAAGACGAGTGAAAGGGACACAAAGGGGCACCAGGGTACTTAAGGTGATGATGGACATGTTCCTTATTTTAAATATGGTGATGGTATTACATATGTCAAGATTTACTAAATTATATACTTTATGTGTAAATTATTCAGTATCATTTGCATTTCAATAAAGCTTTTAACATGCAGTATAATTTTTGGAACATTCATTTAAAATTTCTTAAGAGAGTATTACTTCCAAACTAACAAAGGAAAGAAAATGAGAGTATCAGTGAAGCATTCTGAAAAGAGACAAGAAAAAGGAGTAGAGAACACATGTAACAACTAATAAATACGTAATAAAATTCAATATTTAAATCCAAATCAGTAATATTACTGACATAATTATGCTATACTTGTATAAAATTTATATACTAATTTACATCAGCACACTAAATATTCCCGTTAAAGAGAAAGATACACTGAGTTTGAAAGAAGTAAAAGATCTGTATGCTATGTAAAAGAACAGCAGCTGTAATAGAAATGCTGAATCATTGAAAGCTGAAGAATAAAAACAGTAAATTGTTCATGGTCTAAACTGCAATTTTTAGAGTTTGTAGTAAGGGATGAAACAAATAGCTAATGGTAAAATTTAGGTTAGAGGAATTTTGATGAAGAGCACTTGTGCGTTATTAATGATTATCGCGTGTTTGTTTTACAAAACATTAAGTTCTTTAGGCTTTTATATAATTTTTCATATGAGTATTCTAGTAAAGACAGACAGTGTCTAGTGCATACCCTGACAAAAAAGTAAAAATTTTTTATTAATGTGTTTGCGATATATAATGAATACATTCATCATGGGGAGCTGGTGCATGTACATATCGCCTCTTAAGACAATAAGTAATTTTAGGGCAACTAGTTTTCCATATAGAAAGGTAAATTATAATCTTTTCTTTTTTATTAATTTTATTGGTACATTTTAGTTATACAAATAATGACATCATCATTGGAGATTTGTACCTTTACATAGTATATCTTGATTCTTATTTTTTTCCCCATTTCCCTGCCCTCCCTTCAACCCCTCTACCTCTCTATATTTATACTTTGTTTCTATTTTTTCATTTTCTCACATTAATTCCTTTATAATTTTTTCTTAAAACCTAACAGCAAAACAAACTTGCAAGGGAATTACAGGAAGGACAAAAAATTTTAAGCCATTTTAGAGAATATACAGGAAAATATTTCTGTAACCTTTATAGTACTATATGATTTCTTTAAAATGACAATTTGAAACCATAAAAAAAATTTTACTATGTAAAAAAATTTAAACTTAGGATATATAGTAGACCAAGGATTAATATATAGAATATTTAAAGAACTCCAAATCATTAAGAACTCTATGCCAGGGATTTAGTTTAGCATAAAAACCCAAGCTCTATCCCCATACCAAAAAAAAAAAAAAAAGACCTCCATATAAAATTAAGGGTATAACTGTACTGTATACCTAAAATGTACCAATAAACTCAGTGAGGAAATAAAAATAAAAAATAAATTAAGGGTAAAGAAAAACAGTTTTGAAAAGAGTAAACTGAGAAAAAAACAATGGTATCTTGGTTCAGGAACTTGATTCCATGATTTTGGTCACAAACCAAGTTGGATGAGAGCCAGATCAAATTCAGTAGTTAGGTTCTAGTTGGGTTCATTGTTGACCTGATGGGGGAACTTGATTCAGTTCTTGCCCAGTTTGGTTTGTGACCAGAATTGTGGAGAGAATTGAGTTCATGAACCAAGGTGCCACCTGTATGTTCAATGTCTGTAGTAATCAGGAAAATACAAAATAACCTAACAATGAGATCAAATGTTACTATCCTATGAAAGGTAAAACTTCTGATAATAAGCAATGGAGATATGAGGGAATGAAAATTCATTGTCATTAGAGGTATAAATTGATGCTGCCTTTTGGGAAAATAATCAAAATATCGAGGAAAATTAAAAATACCCCCAGTATTTTCAATTCTAAACATTAAACTAGTGGACTTTGCCAGAGAGATTAGGTAAAAAGTATTTGTTGTAATTGACAAAATTGACTGCCAAGACTAGATAAACTAATGTATAATATTCATTAAGTGGAAAAAAAGTAAAACTATATTTTTTCTCAAGCCATCATCTTGGATTATTTTGGTTATAGGTTAGATATGTGCAGTTTGGTCTTGAAGCTTCTTCAGACATTCTGATAACAGACTTAATTTACATTTGTGAGTTTTCCCTCAGTGACTCTTATCACAGATATTTTCCTAAATTAAAGAATTTTTTCCTTGGACCATTGACATCTGTGTCATAAGGAGAAAAAGTAGCATTCAAAATGTATTTTATTTTTTCTTTACTCTTTTATAGGACTAATATTTCAAGCCAAACTCCTTCTGCCAAAAGAAGTTTGGGATTTCTTCCTCAGCCAATTCCTCTTTCTGTTAAAAAATTGAGGTGTAATCAGGATTACACTGGCTGGAACAAACCAAGAGTGCCCTTTTCATCTCACCAACAGCAGCAGCTACAAGGGTAGGTCACTGTTCTGTTCTTTCTAATAAAGTGATTCAGCTGACTTAAACTTTGTTGGAGGGGGGAAAGCGGAGGAAAAAGAGAAAAGAAAAAAAAAAGAAGTCAGATTAATTATAGTTCTAAAATACTAAGCAATTAGATAACTTGCTGGACATGGTGATGCACTCCTGTAATCCCTGCACTGGAGAGGCTGAGGCAGGAGGATCACCACAAGTTTGAGGCCACCACCCTGGGCTACATAGTCAGTTCAGGGCTAGCCTGAACAACATTGCAACACTTTGTCGCAAAAAAAAAAAGAGAGAGAAAGCTGGGCGTGGTGGTGCACACCTGTAATACTAGTACTTGGGAGGCTGAGGCAGGAAGATAACCACAAATTTGAGGCTAGCTTGAACTACATAATGAGACTCCTATGTCACACTCTCTCCCAAAATCAAATGACTCAGACATTTATCAAATCCATAAATAATGTTAAGTTCATTATCAGATCTCTAACCATTTTTAAGCATTAGAATACCAGGGGAAATACGTATAATACTCATTTTAAAAGAGTAAAGTGTTTTTCAATCCATAGGTGAAGTCACACTCCTGAGGCACTTTTAAAATTAAATTTGTTATCGATTTGTTTATGATTATATTTTTATTAAACACAAAAATTAGATCATGGTTTAATAACTGTAATGTAATAGTAGCTGTTATACTAAAAAATGTATATGCAAGATACTGTGTGTTAAATGTTTTAGTATATGTGCTGCCAAAGCGAACCCATATTAAATGTTTTTCATAGATTTTTTTTTTAACTCTTACAATAGTTCTATCGATGCATGTATTTTAAATATCTGCACTTATGGGTAAGTAACTAAGGTTTAGTGAAGTTAATTAGCTTGCTCAAAGCAGTATAGTCAGGCCAACCATGGTGGTGCACCCCCATGATCCCAGCATTCAGAAGGCTGAGGCAGGGAGGTTGCTGTGAGTTTGAGGCCAGCTTGGGCTGCGTAATGAGTTCAAGACCAGCCTGACCTTGTCTCAAAAAAAAAAAAAGGAAAAAATTATATGCTCAGCATGATGGCAACAGTAAATTCAGGAAGTTGGACTCTAGTTTCATTCTTCATGATTTTATTTTGGCAGGTGTTGAGACAGAGTCTCGCTATGTAGTTGAGACTGACCTGCAGCTTACTATGTAGCCCAGGCTGGTCTTGAACTCACAGCGATTCTCTTGCCTCAGCCTCCCCAGTGCTGGGATTACAGGTGTGTGCCACCACACCCGGCTGTAGTTGCATTCTTAATGACTAGTATATTACATTTCTGTTCTCTGACTTTTTCACTGCACATTAACCATAGGGATCTTTATATATATTAATATAGAATTTTGAACTGTATTAACATGCATTAGAGTTCCTCTTTTATTTACTTAAAATCTAGGATAGAATGAACATTTTTGTACACACACACATATATGTGTGTGTTTTTAATACTTTACTTGATGGACTGGATCTATAGTATAGATTCTTAGAAGTAGAATTATTAAGACACTTTGAAATTTTTTATTCTGCTTACCAAATTGCCCTCCCCAGTCCTACCAGCTGAGTGAGTTGTTGCTGCTGTTGTTTTGGGTACTGGTTTTTCCAAGATGTGGTGGGATAGCATTGACAAAAGATGATGAAACTTTCCTATATTCAGTTAAAGATCTAAAACAAATGGGTGGGAACACACAGAGAACTGCATATAAATATGTCTTCTGATACAGCAGTAAAAGTGCAACTAAATGAAATGGGAATAGAGAAGTGGAAGTAGAGTAAGGTAATCATTTCATAAGTAATAGGTGTAAGTCAAAGAATTCCATTTAAAATGAACAATCTAGAGTCAGATAGGGTGGCACACACCTCCAATCTGAGCCCTTGGGAGGCTGAGACAGGAGTATCACTGTGAATTTGAGTCCAGCCTAGGCTACATAGTGAGTTCAAGGCCAGTCTGAACTACATAGGGAGACCCTGTCTCAAAAAAGCTAAATAAATAAATAACTATCTAGATGGTAAAAATAAGAGAAAGGGGTTAATGGTGATATGAAAATGTAAGTGTAGATGTAACAACTCCAACAAATACAAACCTAAAAACCACATTTCTAAAGGACATAGCAGATAGAGAAGAATAATGACATGACAGTTGAGAATAAATGTATTGGCCACATCAATAAATATAAATGGCTTAACTCATCTATGAAAATGTATTTTTTTAGCAGGCATGGTAGCACGTGCCTGTAATCCCAGCACTGGAGAGGCTGAGACAGGAGGATCATCGTGAGTTAAAGGCCAGCCTGAACTACAAAGGCAGTCCCTGTCTCAAAGAGAGAGAGAGAGAACATTGTTTCATGAAGAGAGAGAGAGAACCTTGTTTCATGAAGCAAAACACAACTCTGTTGTGCTAGCATAGTAATTCAGAAAGTTCTAGAATAAAGGGAAGATCATAGCTTGCCTGGGAAGTGCAAGGTCACAAGTTCAATCCCTTGTACCAATGAATGAAGGAATTGGATGGATAGAAGAAAACATATTTAACAGCCAAATGGAAACAATAAGAAATCACAGGTTTCAGTCCTTATACTTTTTTTTTTTTTGATACCGTGGATCGACCTCAGGACCTTGTGCTTGCAAGGTAGGCAGTGGCACCACTGAGCTAAATCCCCAGCCCCCTTATACTTGATAAAATAGTACTTAAATCAGAACCATGGAGGACACTTAATAATGCTAAAAGCCAAAAATTCCCAATGAATATATGACAGTCATGAATATATAAATGCAACACTGCAATCTCTTGTATAAAGACTATAAAAGATGCAATGATAAATAAACACTTGTAATCATTGGAAACCTTAACAGCCCAGTTTTAGAATGACAGGTGACATAAGTAGAAAAATAAGGATATAAAGGCTCTACACATCATAATCAGTTTGTTATCCCTGAGGGATGGGTATTAAATGCTAGACCCTCATAAAGTGTGTGCCTTGTATATGGACCATGCACAAAAGAAGAACATGCACAATGTGCAAAGACAAAATCAGGGTGGCAGTTAATGTCTTTTGATTATAGTGAAATAAAACTAAGAATTAAAAATAAAGCAATATTTAGGGCCGGGGATTTAGCTCAGTGGTTCTGCCATCTGCCTTGCAAACGCAAGTACCTGAGTTTGATCCCCGGTACCAAAAATAAATAAATAAATAAAGCAATATTTAAAAGTTACCTTCTACCTTTCAGAAACTGAAAACCCTATTCAGTGACTATTGAGTGAATACAAATTACAGATGTTCTAAAAGATGAATGATAATGGAAATATTGATAATATGTGTAATACATTTAAGGGCAGTGATCAGAAAAATTAATGATGGAAATATATACATATATATGTATATGTATATATTTCTAAACTATAGAAGATAATACTCTTTAACTCATATCAATGCATAAGAATGAAATAAATTTCAGAGTTCAAATAAAAAGAATGACAAAGTAAACCAAAACAAAGTGTAAGAAGTAATAAAGATTAGGGCCAGTTATTTAGCTTAGCAGTTCCGCCTACTGCCTTGCAAGTACAAGGACCTGAGTTTGATCCCCGGTACCAAAAAAAAAAAGTAATAAAGATAATAAAAGAGATTACCATGAGGTAGAGAATTGAAAAATAATGGCTTACAATAACACATCAAAGTTCAAATGGTCCATAACTTATGGCTCAATTTAAGATATTTTGACTTTACAGTGGTGCAAAAGTAAAAACACATTCATTAGAAACTACACTACCAGTTAGAATTTTGCTCTTTTCCCATACTAGTACTATATCCTGTCAGGATGCTCGGCTATAAGCCACAGCTCACAGTCAGCCATGCAATCTGAGAGTAAACAGCTGATACTCTACAGTTTACTTGATTGCTGAGCTATAGAGGTCCTAAAATGGTTATGTCAGGATTGTGAGGATAGTTTAAGTCCTAGTATTTTACTTAAGATCAAGAAAAGTTAAAGATGTCTGCTGTTTTTAACCTCTGTTGTAGTTGATTGGATTGTTTTGTTTTTCTGTTTTGAGGGGCTGTTTAGTTTTGTTTTTTTCTGGTGTTGGGGATTGAGCAAAGCAGTTGCTGTACCACTGTGCTACATCTCCCGCCCTTTGCTTCTATTTAACATTGTACTGCAGATATTAGTCAATGCACTTAGATGAGAAAAAATTACAAATGAAAGACCCAGAAACCCTAGTGTTCAATGAGAAACATAAGTGAAACAGTTAAAACATTTCCTTAGATAGAATCAAAAATTAACGTGCATGTAATTATAAACACTCTGGTTTATCCCATAGAGGTAGTATAAACATAGACATAGAAGGGAAAATCCAAGTAGGCAACAAAAAGGATAAAATATTTAGGAGTAATTTAACAAGATTTTCAAAAATTGCTGGATTAAAAAAAAGAAACAACTGTAATACTCCCAGTGGACACAAACTAAACTTAAATATGTAGAAAATATCCACTATTCTTATTTAGGACATCTGAGTATAATCAAGATACTGTATATAGTTGTCTCTACATTAAGTTGTAAGTTTAATGTGATCCTAAAAGAAATAAGCTTTTTTTATAGAATTAGACTAGTATAGATTTATGTCGAAAAATTTGTGTAGAAAAATAAACACAGAAATAGCTGTGAAAATACAGTAAGGGAGAATAGCCCTGCCTAACGCTTAAAAATAATTATAAATTTGTTATAATTAAAATTCTACCCAGCCAGGCATAATTGTACATGCCTATGATCCCAGCACCCAGGAGGCTGAGATAGGACCGATGCAAGTTCCAGGCCAGCCTGGGCTACATACTGAGTTGAAGGCCAGCCTGGAGTATATAACAAGACCTTGACTCAAGAAACAAAACAAAAAAAGTTGTACGGATGCATAGACAGGTCATTGGAATAGAATAGAAAAAAAGTCCTGTAGAGGAACAAAAAAAGATTTTTTAAATAAATGGCATTAGAATAATTTTGTAACCATTTTGGAAAAGATATAGATTCTTCTCTCATCTGTTTACAAAAAAGAAATTCCATATGAATTAGATTCCCAAGTGTAAAAAATGAAAACTGTGTGAGTCCTGGGAAAAAACTGAAATAGGGAGAGCTTTGTAAATTCAAGATTAAGTTTCAGGATCGAAATCAAAGTTCAATAAAAGATTAATAAATTTGACTGTATAAAAATTAGATTTTGCATGACCAAAACCAAAAGAAAATTGGAATAAATATTTGCTACATATAAGTAAAGGTTTGCCTAATAAAGGTAATGCCTAATTTTCTATTAACTAAAACTAAAGTAATTGTTCTATTATAATGCAGTGGTTTGCATGTGTGTCTTTTCGAATTAGCAAGATCACCATCATCTAATAACTTAACAGAAATGTGCATTTTTGCACTCTTCTGTCCAGACCTGAGTCAGAAACTCTGGGTTGGGGTTCATTAAAAATGTGGTTTAACAAGCCCTCCGGGTGATTCTGATGCAAGCCAAAGTAGAGAACTCCGTTATACTCCTGTGCTGAGAGCATAGTTCAGAACTGCTTCTGCTTTACTAACATGCACTATTTCTTTCATTTTCAGATTCTCCAATTTGGGAAATACATGCTATATGAATGCCATTTTACAATCTCTGTTTTCACTCCAGTCATTTGCAAATGATTTACTTAAACAAGGTATCCCATGGAAGAAAATTCCACTCAATGCACTTATCAGGTAATTGTTATGTCCTTACTGAATAACCATTTAGTACATTGATCATAGAATAATGGGATTTTAAACACTCAAAATTGTGCCTGTTAGCAGTCTTCAAAATAACATGCTATTCAGTGCTTTGTGAAATATGCTGACCTTGTTCCTTTTGTTTTACCAGGCGTTTTGCACACTTGCTTGTTAAAAAAGATATCTGTAATTCAGAGACCAAAAAAGATTTACTCAAAAAAGTTAAAAATGCCATTTCAGCTACAGCAGAAAGATTTTCTGGTTATATGCAGAATGTGAGTACTAATTGTTACTAAATGTTTTAAAGATAGGGAAAATTAAAATAATTTTAGTGTGCAACCAGATTTTTGTTTTAAAATATTTGTGTAATGTGGTCATCATGGATTCAAAACCTTGAGGAGTTATGGTAGGTTTCAGTATGACTTTTCTGTGTATTTTATCATATTTTAATATACAGGTATCATTTGTCACTGAAACAACATTTTTAGCAAAGTGAAGACTCATTAATTTACTCAGACTAATACACTTAAATATCTAAGAATATGAAATCTGTCATTTGTTTTTTGGGGTTTTTTTTTAGTTTTTTGGGGTCTTGTTTGTTGTTCTTGTGATGCTGGGTATCAAACTCAGTGCCTTGCCCATGCAAGCACTGTACCACTGAGCTTGTCATTTACATAACCCTGCCTCTTGGCATTTGTTTTTTGAGGGGAGGCTGGAGATTTTTTGAGACAAATTCTCTCTATGTAGATCAGGCTGGCCTTGAACTCACTCTGTAGCCCAGGCTGGCCTCAAACTTGCATCAATCCTCCTGCCTCTGCTCCTGAGTGCTGGGATTACAGGCATGTGCTATACAATGCCTGGCTGTCATTTGTTTTTAGTCGCAAACTATGTATCCCAAAATCCTTTTTAGAATAAATCTGACCTTGCTCAATTATTTCTCTGGTTTCCAAGTGCTTTAATTATATAAATTACTTTGTTGATGTTATTACTATGACAGGAAATGTTTTGATCTGATAGTAGATACTATCTTTCTAGGATGCTCATGAATTTTTAAGTCAGTGTTTAGACCAATTGAAAGAGGATATGGAAAAATTAAATAAAACTTGGAAGATTGAACCTATTCCTGGAGAAGAAAATTCACCAGATATTTCAGCCACCAGAGTGTACACTTGCCCTGTTATTTCTAATTTGGAGTTTGAGGTTCAGCACTCCATTATTTGTAAAGCGTAAGTAGTCTCTTTAAGAATCGCACCCCCTTTAGTACCTTATGGCAAGTAATTAAAAGTTTTTTGTGACATACCAAATGCTAGTCTTCCTTCCTGTGTCATGGGGAAAATGTAAACCCACAGATTATACCAAGCCTCTTTTTTTTTTTAGTCTTTATCTTTCTGTAGAAAGGATTGGCTGGGGTTGGGGATGTAGCTCATCGATGCAGTGCCTGCCTGGCAAGTGTGAGGTCCTGAGTTTGATTCCTGGTACCAAAAAATAAAAGGTTTGGTGGCCTAAAAACTGAGGGGAATTTTCTTTGTTATATACTTGGTTTTTACTTCATTTCACTAAAAAAGCCCCTTCCTTACTAGTTGCTTATTTTGTTGAGCCAAATCAGTTTGTTTTTATTTATTTATTTTTAATTTTTTTTTAATACCGGGGATCTAACTCAGGACCTTGCACTTGCAAGGCAGGCAGCGGAACCCTGGCCCCCAGATTAGTTTTACTAAAATAATTCTTTTTACAAAACAGAGCAACATTTGAATTATTTTTAACTTTTGCAGTGCTTTTCAACCATGTTAACAATAATTATTGGGGCCAGGGATTTAGCTCAGTGGTGCTGCACATGCCTCGCAAGGGCAAGGTTCTGAGTCAATCCCTGGTACCAAATTTTAAGAATCATTATTTATATTGACTGTATTTAATTAATTTCCATGCTCATCATTAGGACTTTATAGCATACGTTTCTCTTCAAAAAGTTTTATTATTAATTTTTCAATCATCCATAGGGCATCTCTGAATAAATTTTTTTCAGAGATAATAGAATTCTTCAAAGCCATTTTATAAGTAACAATTACTTCTGTGGCTTTCCCACATGACAGAATTATGGTGTCATAGTCTTTGCTCCTTAACACATTATATATACTGCCCATCATATCTTATTACACTCCAACACCCATAAGAAACCTAACTTGGTAAGAATCTTTAATTTTCATTCTGAAATTTTGTAGCAGTTTTGGTTTTGGAAGTCTCTGTTTCACTAATTTACATCGAGGTAGTCACAGTTTTTGTTAATTTTGCCTTTAACATGATAAAATCTTTTCACCTGAAGATTTTTTTCTTCAGTTCAAGAAAACTATTCTCGGGCCGGAGATTTAGCTCAGTGATGCCACTGCTTGCCTCACAAGTACAGGGTCCTGAGTTCAATTCCCAGTACCAAAAGAAGAAAGAAAACTATTCTTTAAATACTGCTTCTCTTCCGCTTGCTCTAGAATTTTCTTTAGAAATGTTCAAAATCCAGATATCGGTTCTCCAGTTCTCTGTCTTTCATACCTATTTTTCTTAGACTGTTCAAAGTTTCCTGAGGTCTCTTATAGCTGTTAACGTTCTAGAGTTTTTTACTAGGTTTGTTTGTTTGTTTGTTTTGAGGCAGGGTCTCACTGTGTAGTTGAGACTGACCTGGAACTAGCCCATGCTGGTGTCGAACTCAGTGATCCTTCTTCTTCAGCCTCCTGAGTGCTGAGATTACAGGCCTGCGTCGCCATGCCCAGCTTGACTAGAATTTTGAATGTGCATGTAGATACTATAAAAATAATAGTTTGGGGTTTTTTTTTGTTTTGTTTTGTTTTGGTACTGGGGGTTGAAGTTGGAACCTTGCATTTGCGAGGCAGCCAACAGCACCACTGAGCTAAATCTCTGGCCCAAAGATAATAGTTTTTGCTTGAGGTTAATCTAGGATATTTAGGAGGCTGAAGGACCACAAGTTCAATGCCAGCCTGGACAATTTATTGAGTCTTAAAAAAAAAGGGCTGGAGTTGTAGCTCATTGGAAGAGCCCCTTGGGTTCCTTTTCAGTTTGTGATAGAGAGAAACAGTTTTGCTTCCTTTTCTGGTTTTCTTTAGTGTTTTCTCTAGTGGATAAATGATTTTCGGAAGAAAAAGTCTAGAGAGCCTAAGATCATTTACTGTTATAGACAGCAATCTATCCTCTCCTTCTAATTTACTTTCCAAACAAAATTTGGTACAAATCAGAAAGAGGTGCAAAGATTTTGGTTGTTATTTTATTGCATTGTAAGGGTATGATTCAAATTTGTTTTAGTAAAGAATTAGCTCTTATATTTATTTTTATTTTTTATTTTTTGTTTGTGTTTTGCAAATAATCTTAATGTCTGGCTTCATAGAAGTTAAATGGCCTCTTTTTGGTTTTTTGAGACAGGGTCTCACTATGTAGTTGAGACTGACCTGGAACTCACTATGTAGCTCAGGCTGGTCTCGAACTCACAGTGATCCTCCTGCCTCAGCCTCCCGAGTGCTGGGATTACAGGTGTGTGCCACCACGCCCAGCAAGAATTAGCTCTGTTAGAAATGGCTCTTGGCAGCCTACCACTTCCACGTGTCTAGGCAGGTGAGCAGTGGTATCATTCAGGCAGCATACAGAGAAAGATATCCATATAAATCTGGCATAAGTATGTAGCATCCAGATGCTGGGTGTGCAGTTGAGGTGTGTGCCCAATGCAGGAAGTGGTGTGAGATCATGGGATATATGCATAGCAGCATTGACCATGTTGTGCAGTGGTATAGGTTGTGACAAGGGTTGGGGACAGATAAGCCTGTCTGGGGCCGAAGCTGCATCAGCACACTTAGCTTCTTGAAGGCCTTGTTGCATTTGTTTTATTAGAAATTTTTTTAGGACAGTGCTCTGAACACAAAATTGTTTCTGGTTAAAGGAAGGTTCTGTGTACTTTTCCCTTTGAATTGTAATTTGCGTGTTTATTCTCTACCTGGCTATAGAATTGTCTGGCCAAGTGTACTTAATTTTTAAACTGTTATAGTTTAAATTGACTGACTGCTTTTCGATTTTATTAGGCAGTTCAATGTGTTAATGTAGTCTTAACTATGAAGAATTCTTATGAATTCTCCAAATAATTTAATTAAGTACCTTATATATTTCTCTCAAAACTTCATTCTCCAGTCTTCCCTGTCATTAATCACAGTTGCATACTTGTTTATCAGTTCAAAAATCAGGTGTATTTCGGGCCAGGGATTTAGCTCAGCGGTTTAGTGGCCTGCCTTGCAAGCGCAAAGACCCGAATTCAGTCCCCAGTTCCAAAAAAAAAAAAATTCAGGTGTATTTCTTTTTTAGTTTTTATTAGTATATACTTGCAATGCATAATGGGTACATTCATTGTGGAGAATTTGTACCTGTATATAACACCTCTTAGTTCTCTTTATGTTCCCTTCTGAAGTGTATTTTTTAGCTCTTTATCTCATACTCCACATCTCATCTGTCAGCAAATCCTTTCAGCTCTAAACACATTAGCCAGAGTGATTCTTTCAAAATGGAAGTTAGTTTAAGTCAGTCCTGTAAAACCCTATATAATCTGTGCTAAGGGCGTAATTCAGTCTGTGAGTATGTCCTTATTAACACATAGAATTCCCTGGCTTCAGTGCCCAGGACCAGAAAATAAAACAAAGACCATTTGCTCAGATAGGCATTTTCTTGCTATTCTGAAGTTCTAGGGGGCCAGGGATTTAGCTCAGTGGTACCATACCTGCCTCACAAGTGCAAGGTCTTGAGTTCAATCCCTGGGACTGAGGATGGGGGGGTGATAAGTATATGTGAAGTTCTAACTTTCTATTCTGACCCTTACCTTCTTTCTTTCCTACTGTTTTTCTTCCTTAGTTTGTATCATTATCTAACATATATTTTACTTGTGTGTCTTTGTCTTTCCCCAGTACAATAAAGGCATTATGAGGGAAGATGTTTTTGTCTTGGTTTATTCATTGCTATACCCCAATACCTAGACCAGTTTCTGGCATGTAAGAGGCTATATTAGTTTTTTAGTGCTGTCTAACAAATTTCGTCAAATTTACTGGCTTAGAACAACACTCATTTAAAGAGCTGGAGATTTATCTCAGTGATGTAGCGCCTGCCTTGTAAGTACAAGATCTGGATTTCAATCCCCAGTACTGCCAAAAAAACACCCAACTCACTTATTAACTCGCCATACTGTACCTCGGAAATTTGGGCACAGTGTGGCTACCTTCTGCACTCTAGAGTGTCAAGAGGTTGGAATCAAGGTGTTGGTACCTGTGTTCTCATATGGAGTCCAGTATCTTCTTTTAAGCTCTTTAAGATTGTGGGCAGAATTCAGGCCTTTGCAGCTGCAGGACTAAGATTCCCATTTTCTTGGTAGCTGTGAGCTGGGATAATTCATTTCCTAAAGGTTTCTTCAGTAGTGTCACCCTCATAGGCAATCATAACAATGCTATTTGCTTTTTTTCTGACCAGCAGGAGCACATCTCTCTGATTTCTAATCCCGCATTTCCTGATTCTACCCTGTAACCCAGATGTAAGGGCTTCAGTGATTTGATCTGACCCTCGTAGATAATCTCCATTTTGAGTTAATCAAAATGAAGATTAGTAACCTTATCTACAGAATTCCTTAGCCAAGTAAGTAGCATTATCATAGGAGTTGTAACTCATTATCAGCACAGATTCTACCCATAATCAAATATGAGGAATTATGCAAATTCTGGCTAGCAGACTCAGTTAATATTTATTGAATAAAAAGATAAATTTCCTTATGATCCCAGTCTTCCACTGTGGCTGTAGAGAATAAGGGCTGAGAATTGATTGTTACTAAAAATATTGATAAGGGGACATATGAAAAGCAATAACTAAAACTATCTAAAAATAAATTTGCTTCCAGATAAATTGAATATTATGTTTTGATCTGAGTACTTTTTTAAAAAAATTATATAAAAATATTTCCAGTAACCAAACTGTTCTTCTACCTAACAGAAATACCTGTACATGTGCTTTGGGAACACATAGAATTGTCAAAGCGGTATTGTTTATATAGTCAGAAAAAGGGAACAATCCAAATTTCTGTCAGTAGTGATATAGTTAATTATGGACTAGTAATATAGATTAATGCTAAACAACAATAAAAATGGGCTGTAGTCAAGTGGATTAGGCAGAGTTGTATCTTATGTTGAAGAGGCTTGATAAAAAAATACTGTATGATTACATCATACAAGGTTCAAAAACAGGAAACTCAAACCATGGTGTTAAAAATCAGAATAAGTTTTGCCTTTTGTGGAAAGGAAGGGAGTAGTGATTGGGAAGAGGTATTTGAGGGGGCTGGTAGGGAGTTTATAGTGTTCTGTTTCTTGATTTGGGTAGTGATTATGTAGATGTATTAACTGCTAATTCAGTAAGCTATAAAAGCATAACTGGTTCTCTTTTCTATATATGTTACATTTTAACTTTAAAAGTTTGAAGTTTTTGAAAATATAAAAATTTTAAATTTAGTAGTTTAAGAACATCCTTAAATACCTAAACTTGAAATTTTATCTCAGTTTATTTAATAAGGCTTAAACACCAAAAAAGTTTTGCTGGGCATTGTGGTGCTCTCTTGTAATCTGAGCTGCTTGGAGGCTGAGGTAGGAAGATCCCAAGTATGGGGTCAACCCTGGGCAGTTTAGCTATACTGTCTCAGAATAAAGTCTTAAATGTTGTCTACTTCTGATGCTTACACATAGTATGTCAGCAATATGAGTTCTGTAGAAAAGTATTTTTTCATTCCTCTAACTACTTATATTTGTCTCTTTTTATTTTACAGATGTGGAGAGACTATCCCCAAAAGAGAACAGTTTAATGACCTCTCCATCGACCTTCCTCGTAGGAAAAAGCCACTCCCTCCTCGTTCAATTCAAGATTCTCTTGATCTTTTTTTTAGGGTAAGTAATACCTTTGTTATTTTCATATAACTATCTTTTGTGTATCGTAGATAGTTGTGTTTTAAGTTTTGTTTTTAAGGCAGAGTTTCAAACAAATTCTTGCAGGGAAAACATTAAAAGTATTTATAAAATTTATTTTATAAAGCTTAATAAATCTGTTACTGAAGAAGACTGATTAAACAGATTTTATCTTTAATTCAACAGCAGCTATTTTAGACAAGCTTAGAAGTGGTTCGTTATTTGTAAAATATGTTAATTTAAAGCACTTGAAGTAACATGCTAAAATTTCATATCATAAATTATAATTCGTAATACTATATAAGTTGGTATACTAATACCTAAAGAAGAAAAGTACTCTTTGCTTTTCCTTAGGTTGTGTGTGCTGTGATGGGAACTGGAAGGGAAGGATCATGTTTATCCAAAGCTGTAGATAAATATTTGTGTCTGTGATATAACCTCACAGGTATTCAGAAAGTTTCTGGGCCTTAATCAGACCTATGTGTAGCAGACCTTGCAACTGGTGGAAATTTGCCAGGATCCCTCTTCATCTATACCTAATACTCCTTGTTTTGTTGTTAGCAAATTGGCACTGTTGTCTTCCTCCGGTTTAAAAAAAAATCAGTTATTTAAATGACTGTTCTGCTCTACCCAAAGATAAAAATACTCTGCTTTTTTCTTGTTTTTTTTTTTTTAATCATTCTTTACTATTTCTGTAATTATCATAGGCTGAAAATTACCCTTTGTATCTTTATCCCCATTTTTTAAGGACTTGTTTCAGTTTTCTCTAGGTAATGATATCCACCCCAAACTTTGGGTCCTATTAGAGCATTTATCTTTAGTGGGCATTCACCAGAAGATTGAATTTCATTATAAGAAAAAGGTAGAGTTACACCTAAAAGACCAGGAACTCCGCCTAACCTGAAGGTGATCTGTGCTATAGCCAAATGTTAAAAGTTAGATATATTCTTGGCAGCAGTTCATGTGTATTCATGAGGAAAAGTAAGACTCACCATCATGAGTTGAAACATTTCCTTAGTAAAGAAGGAATTAAGAATTCTGAAATAATATATCATATGATAACTATTTTAAGATTAGTCTTAATTTGGTAATTCTTGTAGCTCAGAACACAGAAGTTTAAACTGGTTCAGACTTATCATTCCACTAAACTAATAGAGAAGATTGCTTACATATAATGATTAATTAATGCTGAATCAATTTCATTCTTAATTTTTCCCCTCTCATCTTTTTATAGGCAGAAGAACTTGAGTATTCTTGTGAAAAGTGTGGTGGGAAGTGTGCCCTTGTCAGACACAAATTTAACAGGCTTCCCAGGTAAATTTAAAATACGTGTTTTTAAAAAGTACTACACTTACAAATGTAAGTGAAGCTTACTAGAATGGATTAGGAGCTTACTAGAATGATAAAGAAGGTTAACCAAACTGATATAGGTATAGTCTACAGGATGGAGGGGTAGAATGCCCTTGTGTAAGAAAGGAAAGGGGACTGGAATGTTAAAGAGCAAAAGGTCGTTAGAGTCCCAAGGAGATGGCAATAAGATGCAGCTGGTGAGGCCTAACCCTTTTGAATTCCACACTGTCAGTAAGAATCTGCAGAGACACACGTGCCTGAAAATAAAATAAGAAAAACCATTTGCATTTTGTGCATTTCTTTTTCTTTTAAGTTAATAAGTTTCCTGTATTATGAGACAGTTCAGACTTGGGAATGAAATTAACTTATATTTTGTTACTGCTGTGTAGACAAACATAAAATGAAGCTGGTTACAAAAGCTTATGTTGTGGTTACAGTGCAGCTTTTGGTTCTTTCCAGGCATGGTCTCAGCCACAAAAAAGATCATTACTCGCATGAATTATTTATGTGGCACTTTGCCTACCATACTTTGCTTTTCTTTTATTAGATTCAATTTGTGGAGTTTCTGGAACCTAGCCCCCAGAGACTAGTTCTTTTGCATTCTGTAATATATACCTTTCTAGAAAACAAATTGTTCTTAAGGAAATCATTTTATGAATCCTACAGTATTATATTGGATATAGCTTCTATTTTAATTCATTTTATTGATATGCTTTTGATATACATAATGATATACAAATTCATCATAGAGAATTTATACCTGAACATAATATATCTTGATTCTTTTTTCCCCATTCCCTTCCCCTCCCTTTAGCCCTTCTTCCTCACCCAATTTACAAAAGCTTTGTTTCCATTTTCTTTCTGTTTTCCTTTCTTTTCCCTTCTTTCCCTTCCTTCTCCCCTCCCTTACTCCCTTTCCCATTTGAACACTCTTCCTACTTCCTATTTCCTAGAGAAATAATGCAGTATGTAAACCTGTGTGTCTCATTTATTTCACCTAAAATTATGTTCTCATGGGGCATCCATTTGCCCAAAATGTCTCAAGTTTATACTTCTTTTTGTTTGTTTGTTTTGTTTTGTATTGTTTTAGTACCAGGGATCAAATTCAGAACCATGTGCTTGCGAGGCAGGTAATGGAACCTCTGAGCTAAATCCCTGGCCCAAGTTTATACCTCTTTATGGCAGTGTAGTACTCCACTGTATATAAGAACCACATTTTTCTTATCCATTCATCCATTGATGGGCATCTGGGCTGTTTCCAAGACTTAGCTATTACAAATTTTGCTGTTGTAAATGTGGGTGTGCATATATTTCTGTAATATGATGCTTTTGACTCTTTCCAGAAAATATCAAGAAGGGGAATAGTTGAGTTAAATGGAACCTCTAGTTTTATCTTTTTGAGGAATCTCCATACTGATTTCCACATTGGCTGTACAAATTTACACTCTCACCAATAGTGGAGAAGGGTTCCTTTTTTTCTCACAGCCTTACCAACATTTGTAATTGATTGATTTCCTTTTTTTTTTTTTTTTGGTACCGGGGATTGGACTCAAGACCTTGTTGCTTGCAAGTCATGTGCTAGAACCATGGAGCTAAATCCCTGGCCCTGTTGATTTCTCTTTTTGGCGGGGGCATACCAGGGATCAAACTTGGACCCTTGCACTTTCGAGACAGGTGGTGGAACCACTGAACTAAATCCCTGGCTCCCCTGTTGATTTCTTGATGATAGCCATTCTTTCTGGTGTTAGATGGAATCTCAGTGTTGTTTTAATTTGGATTTCTCAATGATGTTGAACATTTTGTCGTGTATTTATTTGTTGATACTTCTTCATCTGAGAATTGTCTATTCAAATTCAGATGCCCTTTTTTAATTGGATCTTTAAATTTGGACAAGTCTGTTTTGGGTTTCGTTTGGTGTTTTTGTTGTTGTTGTTTTTGGTACCGGGGATCGAACTCAGGTCCTTGCGCTTGCAAGGCAGGCCACCGAACTGCTGAGCTAAATCCTTGGCCCCTTGTTTGTTTTTTAGTTCTTTATGTATTGTACATATTCTGGTCTGAGGAATGGCTGATAGTTATTTTCCCACTCTGTGGGTTGTCTCTTCACTCTGTTGGTGGTTTTTTTTGCTGTACAAAAGCTTTTTAATATGATGTAGTCCCACTTATTGATTCTTTGTAATATTTTCTATGTGATCAGAGTTTTGTTCAAAAAGTCTTTGCCTAGCCTATATTTTTTACTTAAGAGACTTTGCTCTTTCATATTTGTGAGTGTTATGAGGCAAGAAGAATGCAGGAAGAGAACTTAAGGTAAACTATTGGTTGTTACCAAATGTCACTAAGGAAACCAGTGTGCAATGAAAAAGACTTATGTGGCCAGTTGTGGTGGCACACACCTTTAATTCCAGGACTCGGGAAGCTGAGGCAGGAGGATCACCATCAGTTTGAGTCCAGCCTGGGCTACATAGTAAGTTTAAGACCAGCCTAAACTACATAGCAAGACCCTATCTAAAAAAAAATAAATAGTAAAAAAACTTGTCTGACATTACAACCGGAGTGTTTCTTCCCTTTCTCATTCTCAAACTATTTAGTCTTTCAAATTAAAAATGTACATTGAGCAGAATTTTTCTCTTTTTTTTTGTTAGATCATGCATTAAAAGTGAATTTATTTCAAACTTACTCAAAATGGAAGGCTGTGTATCTTACATGTTAAGGATTAGTCTTCTTATTTTTGTTCATTTTAATATTCAAAGTCATTCTACTTTTATTCTTGAAGGACCTGATATCTTTTTCAAATCTATTCACTTTAAATCTGCCTCATCTTTGCAAATAAGTGATTCTGACTTACCCTCCTGTTTCATATTACCTTTTATTTTGGTTAGGATTATTGTGAAATTTATTTAAATGTTTGATTTTTTTATATCAGTTTTAGTTTCTTCACATCATTTGGATCCTTGTTTTCTTTCACACTGAATTTGAAGACCATGAATGCTTTTTAAAAGAGAAGTACAGTTGATATCTTCAGTTTGCAAATTTTTTAGTTTGTGACTTCCATAGTAAAAGCATAGACAGTAAGAAAGTTTTCCATAGGTGAGAATTTTTTGCCTAAAACTGAAATTTTTTCCTGTATGGTTTTTTTAAATTCAAATTTTAAAGTTCTTGTGGCCTGTAAATTATACTTAATATATCAGGCAGAGATTATGTTCTGTACAGTGAAGTCAAAAAGTTTACAACAATGGAAACCAAAAAGGCTTACAAGTCAGATTTGGCATGCAAATTATTTTGTATAACTTTTTTATAGGTGGGAAAATTTTTTCTATTTCTCTCTAAGCTTTTTCCAGAGAAAGTATTTCTGAAATGAGACTTAATTACTATAAAAAATGCTTTGAAATAGTGTTCATCATCAAACATAAAGGCTATGTAACATTTCAGTTAAGTAGACATTACTTTACTGTGTGGTTACATAAAACTAATTTCCTTTTTATTTATTTATTTATGTATTTATTTATTTATTTATTTTTGAGACAGGGTCTCACTATGTAGTTGAGACTGACCTGGAACTCACTGTGTAGCCCAGGCTGGTCTCAAACTCACAGGAATCCTCCTGCCTCAGCCTCCCGAGTGCTGGGATTACAGGCATGTGCCATCACGCCTGGCACTAATTTCCTTTTAAACTTTTTATCAGTGAAATAAATTATTTGAGAATTTAAGCCAATACCAATAGCAACATCTAAGAATTTGGTATTTTCACTGGGGATTTAGCTCAGTGGTTCTGCTGCCTGCCTTGCAAGCATAAGGTCCTGAGTGTGATCCTGGTACCAAAAAATAAAAACAATAATAATAATTTAGTATTTTTATCTGCTTTTATTTTATTTATTGATTTTTTGGGAGCATTAGAAATATTTTACCAAGCCTCAGTAATCCACCAGTGTCAAGTATTGTTTTTATTTGTACCTAGCACTGTACCTGGTACATGGCTGGTGTTCAGTAAATATTACTTTTCAATTTACTTTTTATTAGTGCGTATTAACTTTATAAAATATTAGATTTCAGTGTGCTGATATAGTAAACATACTTTGAAATAGCTTTAGTTTGTCCAAATGTATTCGTTAAATCAAAATTTATCTAATATGTAAATTTACCTAACATTAGTTAAAATGATGTCTTAACCCATAAGAGAGCTACCTGTGTGTCACTAGAGTCACCATCTCCTGTTTTTTAGGGTCCTCATTCTTCATTTGAAACGATACAGCTTCAATGTGGCTCTCTCACTGAACAACAAAATTGGGCAGCAAGTCATCATTCCAAGATACCTGACCCTGTCATCTCATTGCACTGAAAATACAAAACCACCTTTTACTCTTGGCTGGAGTGCACATACGACAGTGTGAGTCCTTAAGCGACAATGTCTTTACCTTTCCTTTTGAAATGGATTTCAGTAATGCATCAAAAGAATGACTGAGCTACATAACATGGCTCCCAGATGGAATTTTGGAGTTTTAGTGTTAAATTACTGCCTGATTAAAGTTCTTCCAAGTTTTTTAGCTGCCTTTCTTGATAAGGTACATTGGAGCTAGGCATGGTGGCACACGCTTGTATTCCCAGCACTTAGAAGGCTGAGGCGGGAGAAGCGCCATGAGTTCTTGGCCAGCCTGGGCTACGTAGTGAGTTCAGGGCCAGGCTGAACTACAAAGGGAGACCTCTGCCTCAAAAAGCAAACAAACAAAAAGGTACATTGTAGGAAGTCCTCTTACCCTTTTAGGCCACTGGAGAACTTGAGTGATCATAAGAATCACCTGAGCACCAAAAATACTGATTTCAGTGTTCTTCCCTGAAGTGGTTTCAGTAGATCTATCACTTTGGAATTGCTATTTTTAATAACTCAGGTGACTCTTTGGACATGCAAATTTGAGAAGCTATATACTAAATATTTGTCAACTTGAATTGATGAAATTGTATAAAATGTATTTCCCTTTGGATTAATAATTATGTAAGTTTATACTATAACCCTCAAGGGTCCGCTCATAAAAGCATGTTCTCAGAGAGTCTTAGTATTTTGGGTTCTTTTTTAGAGTGAATGTTTTTGCTGGTGCAAACTGCCCTCTGCTGGTTGAGTTTTTCCTCATCTTGGCTTTGGTATTATTGTATCACCATCAGTGTAGGATCTTTGGTTACAAGCCTAAACCAGACGCTCTGACTCTGCTATTTATAGCTTTTAGACCTTGGATAAATTCCTTGGCTTGTCCATAGGGAAAATAACAGAGTGGTTGTCAACATAAGTGAGGTAATACATGTTGAGTTCTTACTGTAGTGCTTGACATCTAGTAAGTCCTCAATAAATGAGAGCTTTTATTATTTTATTATTTAAAAGAATTGAAGCAAAGTAATTTCTCGCAAGTTTTTTCATATGCATTACACTTGACTTCATTTTCAAATCTGTTTATTTTTATTATTAGATAAGAAGAGCCCAGAGATGATATTTCATTTTCTCTGTTAGCCTCTATTACTAGTAATTTATAAGTGTTATAATTGTTTGTTTTTTAAGAAGATTTATAATTGTGGCACAAAATATTTTATTTTATAATTTAAATATGTATCTTTAATAATGTAATTGTATACATTATATATTTTCTAATTTTCTGATAGTTCTAGACCATTGAAAACCTCTCAAATGGTGAATTCCTGCATCACCAGCCCTTCTACACCTTCAAAGTGAGTTATATTTCTTGTGTACCCAAAATTGTCTCTAAGATTACACACACACACACACACACACACACACACACACACACACACACACACACACACACACACTTCTTTTTTGCATGGTAATTGCTCTGTATTACCCATACTTCAGAATTTTCCTAATCTCATTTAGAACATAATCTAGACTATAACGAGTTCTTCATAACAAAAGAAGTTCGGGTGATTCTTTCAATATTTTCTTTTAAAACTTATTTGATAATATATAATATTTCATTCTGAAACTCTAAAAATTGACCGGTGACAGATGATTTTTAAGGATTAGAGGGATAAAATGGCCCCCTTTGCTCTAAAGCAGTCTTCTTCAAAGATAAGCATGACATCCCAAGCCTTTTACCTCTTGCTAGACTAAGACTTACTGTCTGATGCTGAGTAGGAGAACTTCTGAAATGGGATAGGAAAACAACACTGGATTTCCTGCCACCATGTACACTGGAAATGCAGCTGTTTTGCATTTTGTTTTTTGGTTTAAGACCAAAAATTTATCCTAGGAGGGAAGCAAATAGTTTTTCTAAAAAATTATATCTCCTAAGATTTTGCTAGAATCATGGTTCCTAATTAAAACAATTCCAATTGACTTAGTTGTCATTTGATTTTAAAATTTGTTTTTCTAAAAATTTGAGGTCCCAAATTACTTTTAGAGGAGGCATCTTTGTTGTTTAAGGGCTTTGGGGGGGCTTATATAATCATAAAATGACATTTGGGAACTGCTGTTTTCTTTTCCTCCTGTTAATTATTTTTCAGTGCAATTAAAACCAGATGACTAACATGACTAGAAATCTGAAATGGTACCGATATGAATACTCTTGCCCGTTCTCAAGATACAAATGAGCAATACCACTTGGCTGCTTAGAAAGTGAGCAAGTGATGCATTTACAAGATGAATATTTTTCATTGCTACAGGCAAGCTGCCTTCTGTAAATATAGTTAATTATTAATGGAATGCACTCTTTATGTACCAAATCACTATAGTTGCAAGAAACAGATAGTTTCATTGGACATCATTATACCTTGGCATGGTCATCTGTTCTCCAGGGTCTCTATTGATATGAGAATTTGATAGTTGGACAGTAAAGGATGATTAGGCCCTAGAAGACCCATCATGCCGATCAAACTTAAAAGAGGCTGAATTATGAACCATAATACCGTTGCTTCTGCTACAATATCCTTTGTCACATTTGATTCTAGTGAAATAACAAACAGGAATAAATAAATAAATAACAGCCAGGTGTCATTCTCTTCACCAAAGTATTTACCTGGATAAATTCAGACATTCAGGTTTGCTTGGTGAACATTAAATCAGAAATAAGGAATTAAGATGACTAATTGGCTATTTCTAAGTTATACTAAGAACCCTTTTGAACACATAACAGGAGGCTGTTGAAGTGTTCAGGCTGGAGTGCAGTGATATCCCAACTGTCCCAGCCATAAACTGTGTGGGCTTCTCAATGACCACTGCCTCTTTTCTTTGATCTCTGCTGCTGTGCAGTCCTCCTGCTTTCCATTGTGGCCTCTTCCTGCTGCCATCACTCCATATGTTTATAGTTTTCACATTAATTGCATTTTTCATATTTCCATTTTATATATATATATATATATATATGTATAATTTTAATTATAGCATATGAATTTATTTTAACCTCTATCCAAGAAAGTTCTTGTTCTTTGGCATTTACCTCTTTTCCTTTAGTTTATTTTCAGCTCACAGAGAAAACACAGTAACACCTTATCTGGTATAAGTAAGACTAATATTTAGTATTCCACATAGATTAATTTTTATGTAACTGAAGCTTGCCTTTGTAAGCATTTATCTTTAAAAAGTTTTAGTCATTTTGGATGAAAATTTCTAAAATATATTGTACTATTCCTTATATTCTTAAATATAGTGAAGATAACTTATAATATTAATGATGTAGAATGAGCATTGTGAATGTTTGTTATTGCACTGTGTATTAATGTGACACTACACTGAGAAGAAACCCTAAATTATTACAGGACAGTTTACCCTTATAGTAATTATATTTATACTTCTTTTTTGTCCTTTTCTGTGGTTATTTTCTCATTTCCTAGCTCTCATTTCTTGATGAACTTGCTACACTATTTTATACACCATTTCTTGGGTGAGAAAGTGACCCTTTAAGTGCATGGGCTTTAGAACTGCCTCCTTAGAAGGCTTTCTTCTTGCTTTAGAACGTCTGTTCTGAAAGACAGAGGTTGCCAGAAGCCTGACCTAGAGATAATTGGATAAGTGGAATGTTACTGTTATTTTTAAAGTGCATGAATCATAATTTAAAAGATCAAAAATAGTTCTCATGCATTTTGTTTGTCAAAAACATTTATTCATTGCAATGCCTGCAAGAATTCAGTAGAATATTTACTTTATAAAGACAACAGCAAACTTCATTGGGGTTGATCACTGACAGAAAAGGGTACAGTATGATTGGCTTACTGATGATAATATAATAGCATAGGAGTTAGCCAATTCTCAGAGCATAGCTCTTTAGGAGTGGGTCAAAGGTAATGAAATGATTACTGTATCTCTTTTGATAATCTGTTTTCTCTGTCAAATAGTTTTTCATAATGAAAAAGTGTTTTGTTTGGTATTTATACGTCAAAAGAATAACAAAGACAAATGTTTATCATACATTTTTTTTTTTTTTTTTACTTACAGGAAATTCACCTTTAAAGCCAAGAGCTCCTTGGCTTTATACATTGATTCAGACAGTGAGGATGAGCTAAAACGCTCTGTGGCTGTCAGCCAGCGACTTTGTGAAATGTCAGGCAATGAACAACAGGAAGACCTGGAGAAAGTAAGTAATTTTTCGCCACAACACTTGACATAGATTTCTGAAACTCTTGCTGTCCAAACAAAATATCTTTTGTAATCAACAAACCTAAGAAATAACACAAGATGGGTCACAAACCCAGTGGCTCTGTTCAGATACTAATGTGGGGTTTTTTTTGTTTGTTTGGTTTTTGGCTTTTTGAGACAGTGTCTCACTTATGTAATTCTGGCTGGCCTCAGATTCGTGGTGAACCTCCTCCTTCATGCAGCCTTCCAAGTGCTGGGATTACAAGCCCAACTGCAAATTTTATTTTATTTTTTAGTTTTTTGAGACAAGGTCTTGCTGTATAGTTCAGGTTGGCCTTGAATTTACTGTATAGCCCAGGTTGGCCTTGAACTTTGCGTTGATCCTCCTGTCTCAGCCTCCTGAGTGCTAGATTACAGGCCTGTACCACCACACCCGGTCCAGGTACTAGGTTTATTTTTTTGGTAAGACAGGGTCTCACTGTGTAGTTGAGATTGACCTGGAACTCACTATGTAGTCCAGGCTGGTCTTAAACTCACAGCGATTCTCCTGCCTCAGCCTCCCGAGTGCTGGGATCACAGGCATGTGCCACTAGTTTTAAAGGATGTGATTTCTCTAACTAAAAAAAAAAAAAAGTCTTTTTTAAGAAATTAAAGTAATTGGGCCGGGGATTTAGCTCAGTGGTTCTGCTGTCTGCCTCACAAGCACAAGGACCCAAGTTTGATCCCTGGTACAAAAAAAAAAGAAAAAAGAAAGAAAGAAATTAAAGTAATTGTAGGTAAAATTTCTTGTTACCCTTCTAAGCTACTTTTACATATTAGACCTCAGATAATTACCTAATTTTAGTAAAAATTGTTTAAAGGGACTGTAGTAAACATTATACATCAACAGAGCAACCAGATAATTTATTTAAATTATGAATATGAAGACATGGCTACATCATCGTATCTACCTTAACACTTAGTAACTAATGGCTTGGAAATTTAAGTTTATCTAGGTGATTGTATCATGTTATGCTACTGTGTTTTATTTCAAACTTCTCTTTTGGTGATGTAATAAATTATAATAATTATTTTGTGTGCTTAATTGTCTCCTACCTTACTTTAAAGCTAGTAGTAGTTTGAGGTTCCTCACCTTGAATGAGAATTGAAATTCAGAAGTTCTTTGAGAAATAAAGTTATTCAGAATATAATTTTTTAATATTTATATAATCTTGTGAAGTTTTAATTTTTTTCATTTAAGACCGGCCAATAATTCAAATGGCATATTGAGTGCAATGAACAGAGTATTTATAATATAATCCCTGTGTACCTGGACAAAAGTACTTATACTGAGTAATCTGTTTTGAGTGATTTTTATCAATTTTTATGTATTTCCCAAATTTCTACAAAGCACATACTTAACACTTACTGTAATCAAGAAGAAGTATCAAGCCAGGTGTGGTGGCGTACGCCTGTAATCCTAGCACTTGGGAGGCTGAGGCAGAAGGATTGATGTGAGTTCGAGACCAGCCTGGGCTACATAGTGAGTTCCAGGTCAGTCTTAACTACATAGTGAGACCCTGTCTCAAAAAAAAACAAAAAAAAAAAAAAAAAGAAGTATCAAGCCAGTCATGGAAGTGTACAGCACTCTGGGAGGCTGAGGCAGGAGGATCATAAGTCTGAGCCCAGCTTGTCTCAAAATTTTTTAAAAGGTTTGGGAATTTAACTTGTTGCAGAAGCTCTGGGTTCAATCTCCAGTACTGCCAAAAAATTTAAAAAAAATGATCATGTTCTTACGTAGTGTTATTTTAAAAATTAGGTTTGCCCAATTGTTATCGTTAAAGGAGCAAAGAAATTTTTAGAAGGTACGGGGATTTAGCCCAGTGGTTCCACCACCTGCCTGACAAAGCATAAGAACCCAAGTTCGAACCCCAGTACCAAAAAAATGTTTGTTTGTTTTTTTTTAGAAATAGTTTCTGGGCTGGGGATTTAGCTCAGTGTTTCTGCCACCTGCCTCACAAGCACAAGGACCCAAGTTCGATCCCCAGTACCAAAAAAAAAAGAAAGAAAGTTTCTGTTTTAAACTCTAATTAATAGGAAACAGAAGAGAAAATTGCTGTAGACACTAGTTACCGATGTATAATTGATAGTGTGAAATAGGAAGAAAAGGTCTGAAGGAGTAGAGGAAGTGGGAGGGGTAGGGGAAAGGAAAGACGAGAAAAGAAAAAATATGAGAAAAGGAAAAAATGGAAACAGTCTTTGTAAATAGGGAAGGGTAGAGGGGTTGAAGGAAGGGTAGGGGACTAGGAAAAAAAATCAAGTTATGGCCGGGCGTGGTGGCACATGCCTGTAATCCCAGCACTCGGGAGGCTGAGACAGGAGGATCGCTGTGAGTTCGAGACCAGCCTGGGCTACATAGTGAGTTCCAGCTCAGTCTCAACTACAGTGAGACCCTGTCTCAAAAAAACAAAAACAAACAAACAAACAAAAAAATCAAGATACCCCATGTAAAGGTACAAGATCCCAGTGATGAATGTAACTGTATTGTATACCTAAATGTACCAGTAAACTTAAGAAAATACATACATAAGTAAATAAATAATTTGAATACAGTTATATAGCTCTGGATACAAATCTTGGTTCCACCCAAAAAAAAAAAAAAAAAAAAGTAACTCTTCTTCAGGATTCAAAACTATGCAGAGTCGAGTCTGATAAGTCTGAATTGGAAAACTCGGGATATGACAGAATGAGTGAAGAAGAGCTTCTGGCAGCTGTCTTAGAGATCAGTAAGAGAGAAGCGTCACCAACCCTCAGTCATGATGATGATGATAAACCAACCAGCAGCCCAGATACTGGATTTGCAGAAGATGATATTCCAGAAATGTCTGAAAATCCAGACACTGTGGAAGCTGAGAAGCCCAGAACAGTCACAGAGCCAGGTAAGTTTAATGAAGTGAACATATGTTAAAACATAAGTGTGTTCCAAAGTCTTGCAGTGACAGATGGCTTCTAAATAATCCAAGTCTAGGATTTTGGAAATGCAAAGAATAGTAGAATAGAGCTGGGGGTTTAGTCTAGTGGTGCCATGCCTGCCTCACAAGCACCAAGGTCCTGAGTTCGATCCCCAATACAAAAGAAAAGTAAAATAATCACAAAATTATTTTCTACATTTGCAAAGTCAGAAGTACTTCAATTTTCAACTCTCTTATATGCAAGTAAAATAAGAATAAATATATATTTGGTATATCTCCCTCCCTTCTCCCTTGACCCTTCTCTGCTTCCTGCCACTATTCCATGAGCTTTTCTCCTCTGCCATGCCTCTGTGCCATGCTGCCATGCATTGAAGCCAGCTGGCTGTGAACTGAAACTTCTAGAAACTGTGAACCAAAATAAACCTTTCCCCCTTACAGGTGTAGGTGTCAAATATTGTGTCTTTAACAGTGAGAAAGTAACAAAGACACTTGCTATCACCCATCTTTGAAAAGTCTGTTTGACAGCTACATTGATCTCTGTAGAAAAAGCACAGGGGTGAGTAAGAGCTAGACACACTGGGCAGCTCTGTGCCTGGCTGAGGAAAAATGAACATGGGCAAAGGAGATCCGAACAAGCCTAGAGGCAAAATGCCTCATATGCATTTGTTGTGCAGATTTGCTGAGAGTAACCCAAGAAGCAGCACACAGAGGCTTCAGCCAGCTTCTCGGTTTCCACTTTTTAAAAAAAAATTGTTTTGGCAGTTCTGGGGATTGAACCCAGGACACACTATCTCTGAGCTACACCCTCAGCTCTGGCTGTCTAGTTTTGATTACTTCCTCTACCAATTAGGCTTTCTCCATATCAAATGGTGCCATCATCTGCCCAGTTGCTCAGGCCAAAAAAACTTGCCTCCTTTGATGTTTTGTTTTACTTTACACTTTATTTTCAGTCCACTAGTAAACACAGTCAGTGGTACGTGAATTCAGTCATGTACAACATCTTTATGGTAACAGCTCTAACTTTCCACCTCTGGCCTGGTCCCTAAATAATGTCTCTTCTACTCCTGTACCCACAGACCTGGCAAAGCAGGCAGGGTAATTTTTTTAAAAGCATAAGTCATACCATGTCACACTTGCACTGCAAATTTATTGTGACATCTCAGTACACTTAATAACTGAGCTTCTTATTGTGTCCTGGCTCCACACTGTTCCTCACTTTCACTCTCCTGCCTTAGCCACCTTGCCTTCTCTGTCCTTCAGATTTGCTAATTTTATTTTCATCCCAGAGCCTTTGCATTTAAGTTCTACTGTAGCCCCAGCTTACAGCAGTGCATTCTCAGTACAGTAGATTCTCAGTAAATATTTGTGACCCAACAGATTGGCCATGTGGTAAGTCACTGAGGAGAGGCAAACTCCAGCCACTCACCTCTGGGAACAGTGTGTACAAAGGCTCAGACAGGGAAAAGGCTATGGCAAGTTAGTGGACCTAAAGAAAAAGTTCAGAATGACTTGCATGACTGGAGGGTGGTGCTGAAGAGGGAGGAAGATGAAACTAGAGAGCTAAGCAGTCTCTAGGGGCCTTTGCCAGGCCTAAAACGACGTTTAGCAGTTTGACTTTTATTTCAAAAGCATTAGAATTATTGGATACTTTAAGAAAACATGTTTTTAATAAAGATCGATGTTTGAAAAAAGGTAACACTGGCTGCAATATAGCACATAAATTAGGAAGAATCAGGGTGATTCTGTGTGACCTGTTAGCAAGTTACTGCAAAGTCCAAACCAAAAGTTAATGGTCCGCTAAACCAAGGTTTTGACTTAGAAATAAAAACTAATGCGTTCAGGATTTGGTTAGGGAATAACGGTTTATCTGAGGTGAGGAGTTAATGAGAGTGAGAAATAAAAAGTGATCCTTGGACGGCGAGTATGGTGTCACACAGCTGTAATCCCTGCACTCTGGGAAGTTGAGGCAGAAAAATTATAAGTTCAGGTCCCACCTGGGCAATTTATCAACTTAGCAAGACACTATCTCAAAATAAAAAAGGGGCTATAGCTCAGTGTGAAGGCCCTGGGTTCACCAAAAAAAAAAAAAAAAAAAAAAAAAAAAAAAAAAGCAAAAGGAAAGAAAAAAATGATCCTCAGGTTTCTGTCTCTGCCAAAAAACAACTATGGACAGTAATCTCATTCACTGAAATAGAGACATAGGAAAAGGAGAGGTTTCAGTTCAAGTAGGAAAGAGGTAAATAATATATTCATTGTAAGAGTGTTATATTTAGCTAGGTATATGCCTGTCGTCCCAGCTACTCTGGAGGCTGAGGCAGGAGGATTGCAAGTTGACAGCGGGGCAACTTAGCTAAAGAACCTGTTTAAAATGAAATTTGTTAAAAGAGGGCAGGGGAACTGGGGATTTACCTTAGTGGCACAGCACCTGTTTTGAAAGTGCAAGGTCATGAGTTCGAGCTCCGGTACGCCCGGGGGGTGGGGGAAAGCTAGGGGTGTAGCCCAGTGGTAGCACACATGCCTGGTGTGTGCAAAGTGCTAGGTTTGGTCCCCAGTATTTCCAGAGAAAAAGGCAGGAGGGTTGCACCCAATACATTCTGAGTGTTGTCTTCTTTTCTAATGAATATTCATTCAGCAGTTCAATACAATTCAAAATAATTAGTGTGGGGCTGGGAATTTAGCTCAGTGGTGCTGCCACCTGCCTCATAAGTGCAAGGTCCCGAGTTCGATCCCTGGTACTAAAAAAAAAAGTTTTTAATAAAAAAATTAATTAGTTGTTGTTTTGAGTGTAAAACCAAAATACCATAAGCTTCAGAGTTATTTGTGCAATAAAGAAGTATCTGTTTAAGCGGGGCATGGTGGCGTATGTCTGTAATCCCAGCACTCTGGGAGGCTGCGACATGAGGATGGTAAGTTTGAGAAGGCTAGCCTGCACCACATAGTGACACTTAGTTTACGAAAAGAGGGAGAGAAGTATCCATATACAATGCAGGATTAGGACCACTAAAGAGTATAAATACTAACTTATAAACAGTTTCATAAAATGAATATATAAAGGTAATTCTTACTGACTAGTTAAATTCTTTTTATGAGACTTGCCTTAACCCAGTGAGAATTTTTACTTTGATAAACTGTTTTATGTTTTTTTAAAATTTCTCTTCTTTTCCACTCTTACCTGTATTGGAAGTTTTGTTACTCCCATAATTCAGATAACCAGAACATCATGACTTCCTGTTTATCCCGATAGCCATATAGCCTTGAGATTGAGAAGGAACAAACAACAAAAAAAAATATTTCTCCCCTCCCTGGATGCTTTTATGCATATGTACTGTGATAGCTTTCTATAGCATTTATTATTTTCTGTTTAGCTCTTTTGATCTAGAATATATACAAGGCTTGTTTGATTTTGAGGGGTGCTGAGAATTGAACCCCAAGGCATTGTGCTGTGCATGCTGAGCACATCCTCTACCACTTAGGTACACCAAGATCTCATTAGTTTGATTTGTTTTTTTAGGGGGGTACCAGGAATTGAACTCAGGTCCTTGCGCTTGCAAGGCAGGCAGTGGCACCACTGAGCTAAATCCCAAGCCCTAGTTTGATTTTTAATGTGAAAACAAATACTTCATTTTGACGTATAGTGTAGTAAATGGGAAAATCCTATAACAGCTTAATCATTTTAGCCTAATATTTCATTTACTCTAACAGAACTGTATTTCTAGAACTTGAATATGTGGCACTGTGGCTTATGAGTATTATAGATATTTGTTCTTTCCCATCCTCAGTCATAGTGTCCTCCTGATGATCTGTTAAATTTCAGACCATTGCTGTACATTAGTGGTTCTCAACTAAGGGCAGGTCCATCCCCCCAGGGGAAATTTGGTGATGCTTTCATTTTTGGTTGTTGTAACTGGTGAAGATGAGTGCTGATGGCATTTGGAGGAAGGGGCCAAGGATGCTGTTGAAATTCTCCAATTCTACAGACTGCTCACTGTCCCCATCCCCAAAAAATACTCATCCCACCTAAATTATCAGTAGTGTTGAGGTTGGGAAACCATGATGTAGATGTATAGTAAGATGAAATTGTATATACCAGCTAACTCTTAGATGAGGTTTTAGTAGGTTACTCTCAACAGTAGATGTCACTCTAGTCCTGAAATTTCAGTTTCTCAGAGAGAAATCTGCAAAATAATGTTAACGTTCTTTTCCCTCAGATCCTGCCAGTTTTACTGAGATAACAAAAGACTGTGATGAGAATAAAGAAAACAAAACTCCAGAAGGATCTCAGGGAGAAGTTGATTGGCTCCAGCAGTATGATATGGAACGTGAAAGGGAAGAACAAGAGCTTCAGCAAGCACTGGCTCAGAGCCTTCAGGAGCAAGTAAGAGATTTTGTAGGGCTACTTTCTCCATACCTGTCTTTCCCAGAAAAAGAGTAAAAGCAACTAACATTTATTGAGCACTTACTATGTATCAGGCATTGTTCTAGAGGATTTACACATAATAAGTTATTGATCCACCCTAAAAAATTGTTTGTTTCTTACTTTGGATTTGAAACAGGTGCCTTTGTAGATTTTCTTGTTTTGAAAATCTAAATACAGCAAAATTTTGGTTACATTCCATACTATACTGTAGTTCATCACGTGCTAAAGTGAAATGAGATATAGATTATTCCCAGTGTACCACTGTAATTTTATCGTTATATTAATATTTTAATATCAGCTTTGGTCATTTCTTCACAATCTTTTCCTGTAATTATTAGAGCATAAAGTCATCACAAATAATATCTAAAACCTAATTATCAGATTTTGATAATAGCACATTTATTTGCTGTTTTTCTGTAGTAATCTATTTTCTTTCTGTTTTGTTTTATTTTGTTTTATTTTTGGTACCTGGTATCAAACTCAGGACATTGTGCAAGGCAGGCCGCAGAACCACTGAGCTAAATCCCTGACCTTGTGTAATCTATTCTTAAAGTTTTACACGTTTTGTTTTGTTTGATGTTTGGTGGTTTGTTTTTGATGTGGTGCTCTGGATCAAACCAGGACCTTGCACACAAGCACTATGCTGCTGAGCTAGGTTCAGCTAGGTCTGTAGCGCACAGTTTTTACATCTTCATACTAATGGATTTGTACCTTTGCATCACCTCGATACCTGATTTATGCTATAGGTGGTGTTTTCATGGTGGTCTGTTCCCATTTATTCCAAATCATGTTAGTGAAAAATTACCAAGACTCCCTAGGATTCCTGAATGCATAGTTTTAATGCTTGTAGGTAAGATTTAAAAAAAATTTTATACCAGTGATTCTCAGTCTTAAGTGCACATTAAAATTATCTGAAGAAGTTTTAAAAATACTAGTATCTGGGCCAGGGATTTAGCTCAGTGGTTCTGCTGCCTGCCTTGCAAGCTCAAGGACCTGAGTTGAATCCCTGGTACCAAAAAAAAAAAAAAAAAAAAAAAAAAAAA